TCGGTTATATAAATATTCCCAAGCTGTTACGCAGATCATTCTCCATTAATCACTCAGTATTAGTTCAGCTAACTGTTGCAACTACCCCGCGCTACGGTTGTAGCCATAGATGCATACGTTCAGCTGCCGGCCGGTTAATCCCATACGTGCACACTAGCCTCAGCGTCTCCTTATTGCTTTTTTTCTGCTGCTCCCATCGCCTCATTGCTCGACACACCCTCAGACAGATTTGGCGACGACTGTCTGCTCCTGCTGCTGCACGGGTATTTTGCCTGTGCTTGTCCTTATGGGGAGAATCCAGCCTCGACTGAAACACACGAAAGCCTCCGACAACAATGCTAATTTGTTGATACTTCTTCACTACTTAATGTAAAATGTAAAGCAGTTCATCTGCAGCTAAGAGGTTCCAGCTCCCCTTCGCCATGCCACACGCAAGCTTGGCTTTCCATGGGACTCCTCGGGCAAGAAGTGAGCTGATGCTCGAGATTACTGTGAGAGACTGTGGGTTTGCCCGAAAAAGGAGAAGGAGAGGGTTTGAAAACCTCCCCTCCACACCCTAATATATATTTTTTTACAGAAAGAGCAGGCCTGGGAAGGCGAGGGGGCCGGCACGCAGCAGTTACCCAATTGTCAGACCGGTGGGAAAATGCAGCCGAACTCCTCCTCCAGCAGTGACCCATTTACCTTCGGGCAGAGAGGGAGATCTCATTAGATACCGTGGTACATCCTGAAATTTTTTTTCTCCCCTCTCTGAAAAGTGATCACAGCCTTAGTCAACTCTCCTGGGTGTTCAGAAGCCTTCTGTTGTTAAAGCTGTATTCTCACCTGCCCCTCCTGCCGTGCTGGGTTTGCACGTCACAGTGCCTCTTTCTACCAGAAAAATCAGTAGTTTTGAGGAAATCTGTCACACCGAAGTGGGGTGATAAGCCATTCAGAAGTTTGAAGGTGCTTGTTAAAGTTTTAAGAAAATAAATTTGCTTCCAACAATCTAGAAAAAAAACAAGTTAAAAAGCCTTGGGCAGCAAGTTCACTGAGCTGGCGAACAAGCAGATTTTTGTGAGGCCCTTTATGTAAATATCATTTACCTTTGTTTCTGTAAATATCTAATCCTTCGTTCTTCTGTCATCTTGCCAAAGGATTTCTCCTGCTTACAGAGCACTTTTAGGTGAACAAATACGCTGCAAGAATTGTGGCGAGGGGACCGAAATGCCAGCAAAACTCTGCTTGGGGAAAAAAGGAGGGAGTGCAGGAGGAAAACAAGGTAACACACCCACATTTGGGAGAGGAATCATGGAAACACAGGAGAATTAACCCGTGAGGCTCATTTTAGTAACAAACTGAAGTTTTCCACGGGAGAGAAGCAGATGATTCGGGCAGCGGGCTGCAGGATGAGTGAGGCGGGTAGCTGGAGAGGAGGACTGGTACACAGCCTGGCTGTCCCCAGGGACCGGGTGGCAGCTCCACTGTCCCGCCTGTGAGCTGCTATCTGCAGCCCTGGCTCCTAAGGCTGCTTTCCAAAACATCCTGTGCTCCCTAGACAGCACACCCGGACTCACTAAGCATGAACCTGAAAGTTATAATGAGAAAAGAGTTCGTGGCAGTACCAATCTGACCGGTTCATATCTTCGTTTGGAAGACTATGTTGTTCTTCTGGTCTTAGCACGCTCGTAGTTAGTTTTTAGTTCCTATTCCTTTATAACCTTAAAAATAAAGGATCTCTTTCACGGATGACTGTTGCAGCCAACTCATACCAAGGATATCTAGCATCCACCCAACTCCAACAGAGTTCATGAGCTGAAAAATGTTGTTATTCAGCTATATAACAATTCATCTGAAATCAATAAAGTGCTGCTATGTAGTTTGGGATTTAGCAACCAGGAATTCCATATGATAGTGTGTCTGTGTAAGGGAAGTCTTTTTCCATTGTTTCTTTTCAAATTAAGCCCACGAGCAGCAGAAGTTGATTTCTGAGACAGTTTAGGTTGAACAGCTTTGATGCAGATTCAGAGAAGAGACTGCTGGCCACTGAGAAATTTGAAATGTTTAAAGTTTCAGGGTTTTCAATGGAAATACAAACGTTTCATGAAAAAAAAAAATCCAGCTCACTGTACCTGGAGACTTTATCCACCTACCCCAAGTATTCAAGTTGTAAGCAAACTTCAGATAGGGGCTTACCTTAGCAGAACGATTGCTAATCCAAATTCTGATAAAACTCCTCTGCCCCAGTCACTCAAATCTGTAAAGGTGCTTACTGAACTCCTCCCCATGGGCATTAATGCTATCAGGTGACTGTAATCATAAAAATTTAATGGAGAACAAAGCCTTGGGCATTTCTTTTCATTTCCCCATGCAGAGGGAAAGTACCCCATAGACAGCAAGCTGAGATTTTGCCTTCAACTTCCATCACAGCAGAACTGCCTACTAAAATCCCCCACAGCAGCCCTGCCCTCACCCTTTTCAGAGTCTGCGTTGATGATAATGGCTTCTTCAGGTGTCACCAGGAGCCTAATTTAACTAGCAGCAACTTGGTTCTTAACACTGGCCAGGTGCCCTAAGGAAGAAAGATTCTCATTTTGGGCTGAGCCAGAAAAGCAGCTGTGTAAATACACATCTATTTTCAATTGTTGCCCAAATGGTCTCTATAGAACCATAATTTTCATATCAAAAGCCCCTTTTCAGAAATGAACTGCACCGCGAAGAGCCACAGGATGTTTTCAAGTCACTTCCCCAGCTGGAGGACACTCACCTGGGAATACGTTCATAAAGCATTTAGCTGCCTTTTTATGGTTTTGAATCCAATTCTGAGATTTTCAGAAACACTTCTCCATAGCTCTCTGTCTTTTACATTCCCTCAGTATCCTATTGCTAAAGCTCAGTAGATGCCACCATTGCGAAGCTATTCCTATGCACAGCTACGCAAATTCCCTTGGATCCAAGCAGTTTGATAGCTCAAACCTGGAAAGATTCACCGAGTAAGTGCTCTTCCACCTGCTACATCTGATCTGGCAGGTGTTCTCCTAACAAGCCAAGCAGATGTGGCTTCACACTGACCACAGCAGGGAGCAGCTTGAGATCCAAGGTCAGGTCCACCCTCTGCCTGACCTAGGACCAGTGGCATAGCAAAGAGGGAGGGTGTGGATCTTAGGGAAACAATGAAGGTTTCTTCCCAGTACTTTCCATAAACCGGATTATTTTCAGAAACGTACAGGCATTCATTCTTTATAGGCAATGCTGGCTTCATCACAGGTCACTGCAAAGCCCTGAGAGGATCCTCTCCCATGGGGGCTCTGTCTGAGGATGATCCCAGAGATCACCTTCCAAGAAGTTCCAGATGTCCCCATTGTGGGACAGCTGCTCCAGAGCATCAGTTCTCTTCTGCAGGGTTGCCTGCCACACCGAAGGCAAGTCAGACACATTGGAGCAAAGACAACTTTGCTTCTTTTGAACTGAATTTGGTTTCATGGCCCTTCTCCAGACTTGCAGTGTCAAAACAATTTTCTCCCCTTTTTTAGTTTCATTGCCATGTTTGTGCTGCAGGACCAACAGGACTGAAAAAAAACAGCTGGATTTTATTCTGGGCCTTTTATTCAGCGTAAGTTTTTCAACACAAAACAAACAAACAAACAAGTCCGCTTGAGTCTTGCTCTGTGTATTATGTACGACTCCCACTCCTCCTCCTTCCGGACAGTAAGCTCTGAGGCACAGGCTGGTATGTTCTCTATGTTTGGGCAGCACATGGCATATCTGAAGCTTACCATTTTTAAAATACAAAGAAATCCCAGGCACCTGAGGCAAGCAGCTGCCATACATGCCTGCATGAGTGCGGGCAACCAGCAACTCCGTAGTAAAACCAGCCAGGTTGGTTGGAAACTGGCCAGATGGCAGCTCCTGCAAGCTAAAAGGATTAATTATTTGGGGATCATGCCTGGAGAGCAGGCATGATGAATGCAATATATAATTCTTTGTCACGCCTGTGTGTCAGCGCTGGGAAATAAGGAACAGCCAGTACCCTGGGATTCAATCACAGCCATCTTTGCTCTCTCTGGGGAGGCGGCAGGTTTTTTTAAAAGGCCCAGAAGATGAAAAAGGTCTCCCTTTTAGCCTGAAACTGTACGTGTAAACAGCTATTGTCTAGCAGCCTTCGCTTTCCTGCAATTACATCGATGTCATACATTCTTACTTATTTTATTATGTATTTCACAACTCGAGTGTTAATTAACTATTTTATTGGGTCTGTGTAATTAAGCATGTCATGACTCAAATATCTACAAGGCTGCTTGGTTTTTTTTCCCTTACAACTTATCGCATAAGACCCTGTAGCTGCTTTTTCTGACCGGGTATTTCACTAGATAGCCCTACTGCTCTGGCCAAAGAAAACTGCCAGCCAACCTCCAAGCATTCCTAAAATTGTCCGGTCTAATTAAGAGCAGTTTGTCTAAGTGGAAATATCCACTTAGGAGTCTGCTGCCAAATGTCCCTCTCAGGGCTCATCTGGGGTTACCTCTTCTGCTGTGGTTCAAGGCAGTGGGGGTTTGGTGGCCTTCTCTCACCTTGGCCCCGCAAATGGCTGAGGCTGGAGCTGGTGGGGACATGATCCTTCTGCCATGCCAAGCAGGGAAACTCGTCTGCACGGAGCAAAAACACCTCCCTGGCTTTTGATCTACGTATCCTCGGTCTGGAGACAAAAGCAAACCTCCGACATGGCCCGTTCCTCTTGCTGGGCAGCGAGGTCCTGGCTGCGCTCCCATTCAAGCGGCACTGGCAACAGCCTGTTTTTGACAGCTATGCATAAGCACAGTTATTTCTAGCACAGTTTCCCGGAGCTGTGCCAGCAGAGACTTTTTTTTTTTAATGTATTTTCAGACTCTAGCTAGCCAAACTGTGTTATATTCTCCACCTAGACATGAGTATAGTGTTACAGACCCTGGCCAATGCCACGGGGAGGAGGAAGGATGACCTGAGTTCTCATATAAGCCACCTCTGCCATAATCTCTGGGGCTTTACTCCCAGACCTGGGCTTAACCGCATGCAGCAATAGCACTGACAGGGCTCCAGCCACTTTGGTCCTGCAGCCCGCACCCCTCCTCGTGCAGAGTGCCACTTTGCTCCTCAGGCATGGGTGTGATATGAGCAAAAGCCGTGGCGGAGGAAGATGTTTGCTGAGCAGGGCTACACACAAACACTCGTCGAGCCTGCCCTCCCTCCATCAAACTGCCCTTACTCACACCAGTGGCCTGGCGGGGCTTGACGGGGGCGTGCTAAAAGGAAAGAAATGGAGCTCTGTATTTGGCCAGCTGGCCGTGCTTGCCTTTCCTGCCTGTCGTCTCAGTCCCCAACACCTCGGCTGCCATGGCCCTGGGCTCCGGGGCTGCTGCTCTGCTTCTGGACTCAGTAAGGACATCCCCCCGCCCTCACAAAAACACCCTTTGGGGCTCTTTGTGTAGGTACATCCCTTGGTGGAATAAAATGTCCTCCTTCAATAAAACCACCTCCTTTTGGTTTATCTCATGGTTTTTAGATCCTTCTTTCAGCAACAAAAGGATACACTACTGGATATCTGTTATTGAGTCACTGCAGGAATTCCGCAGAAAAACCTGGATCCAGCTTCGGCCCCCGGATCGAAGGAGTTTCTGATTGGTCCCGTTTTGGTGAGATCTGAGTGCAGGAGAAAGGAGCCCAGATTTCCAGGATGCTTTTGCATTGCTGGGAGCAACCCCACGGAGCCCTCCCCTCAGCCCTTCTAGCCCCCTCCCCGTTTATTTACGTGTGACTTGTTTAGCTCTAATCTGACACTTTGCTGTTGCGGAGCTGGAGCCAACACGTAAATAAGGCAAATAGAACAGGGAGAGTCCTCTAATGCCTCTCTGCAGTGTTACTCCTCAGAGCCGAACTGGATTTTAGGAGCTCCTCCATGCCCATTGCTGTTTTCTCACCTGAAATCATAATCCTCTCTTTGTGCTTTCAGTCACTTCCATAGCAACCAGTTGTGATGGCTCCGAGGATTATCACTTCAGGAAGGAAATAAGCACTGATGGAAGAAAAAAAGGACCTGTTTTTTTGCTCTGATCCTGCTTTTATGATGATGGAGAGGACGAATTCAGATAAAATAAAGAGCGTTCTTAGCCTTCAGCTGGTCCCCGGACAGTCCCAAGCTGAATGGGTAGCCTGTTGAAAAGTTGGGTTTGTTTCCTCCTTTTCTGTGAGTCATTGTATTCAGGTCTTCTAGTTGAACCAGAATATGAGAAACATGCTCACCAAGAGCCTGCTCACCTTGCTTGGCTGACCTGTCCAGTTAAATCAGTTCATACGATCAAATTGACTTTCCTCAGAAAGGACCACTAGTCTGGCACTAATGCACCGCAAAATATTTGTGCAAATTCCTTGGTAATAAAAACATCCCGAGGAAAGGAGAAGGATAATACATGCTCAGTGGTCCCACGGTGAAGGCCAGGAAAATAAACAGAAAAGCCTCCTGAGCTTTTGGCTGGACCAAATTGATAGAAGAGTCCTTTAAGTAACGGTATTAACTCGGGAGAGAGACCTTTGGAGATCACGAGGAACATCTCATTTCTCTCCAGTGCCTCAGTCAGATCAAGCAACCCAAATATCTGAAGGCATAAGAAACAGCACGGAGGATACTGAAGGGAAGAAGATGTACCGTGAGCCCGTGAGGCAAAGTCGGACAGAAGGGTACGAGCAGTACAGCTCCCTCAAAGTGCCGCGGGGGGATCAGGGGCAGCTGAAACAGAGTTAATGTTGTGAGTTACCAGGTCCTGGAGAAACAACGCTAGGGAGAGAGACCCTTCCCCTGAGGAGAAGGATGGGAAAGGGGGGAGTGTGGTGGAAGTCTGTAAGTCACCAGCGGGCTGCATTCGCAGCTGTTCCTCTCCCCGCCTCAGAGCCCCAGAGCCAGTGCTGCTGGTAGGGGTAATGCTACCGGCATCCGGAGACAAACAGGGAAGAAACCTCCTGCTTCACGGCCACAGTCCCTCTGCTGCAGACATGGCCCTGGGGGGCAGCAGCCTGCTGCACGAGGGTCTCCGCAGTCACTTGTGCCCCCCCTTGCAATGCTGGGCACTAACCATGGCCAGGAGATCAGCATGGAGGGGTCTTTGTGCTGCCCTTGTTGTCCTGAAAGGTCTCTGTAATTTTTATCGTCGTTTTCCCAGAAGCGACAATGTGTTCTGGAGAAACGTGCGTTATTTGAGGTGCTCAGTACACCAATTTTTGTCATTGCAGGTGCAGCGACAAATGAAATGGAAAATAAGTTCATTCCTTCAACAGAGTACTATTACTGCTAAGCCTGACTAATCACCCTCTGACCGCAGCGGGCAGCCTGCCCGAGGAAGGAGCTCTGAGACAGGAACAGCAGAGCTCGTATCCTCTCCTCCTCGCTGCCTGAGAATGAGCAGCCCTCAGGGAGCGGTGCTCTGTCCGCTCCAGGGGGACTGTGCTGGGTCTTGGCCCTCCAAGCCTGCTGCCAGCTCGCAGAGAAGCCGGCTTCTGCATGAGCCTGCATATTTCATCTCCGTTAATGAATGCTTTCTGAAGGGCACAAAACATCTCCCAGAGAGGAGCCTCACACCAGATCTGTTGTTCTGGTTCAGGGTTATGGAGGAGGCTTGATTTTTTTGTCTTTTCTTGCATGGAGGCGGTTTGTTGCTAGGACTTCCCTCCAGTGCTGGCCCCATCAGCCACAGCCCTGGCTTCAGGGCTGCACGCGCAGGGAGGGCAGCAAGGCTGGCTGCT